GATGTACATTGGGATGTGATAGTTTTATGAAGACCTTTATTGAATTGGTTTTACGTCCTTTGCTCGGGGATTATTCAAGCAAAGTCTGCACTAATAGAAACTGTTATGAACAATATAATAGTCAGCAAAAAGGTAATTGATGAGGTCAGAGGCGGACCTGGCCTTGTGCCTAGTGGGTCAAGTGACTCACCAGGGCCCAAAAAAAACTAAGTTTTTCCTTTTAAAAAAAATGTCATGATTGGGCGCTATTGCTTACTGCACATATGCTTGCCGAGGTCTTGGGCTTAAAAGACGACTAGCCTGGCTCTGTTCTGAAACTTGTGGCTTGGCCCATCTTTGAGTTGGATAAAGACAAGAAGGGATGGGTTAGCCTTGATTATACCAACCCAAGGAAAAGTATTCGGGTTTTTAAATTTATAATTAATGTATAATTGATAATTTTTTAATTTATTTGTATATATTGAGATTTTTGTTTTGTGTGTAATATTAATATTTTGGTGTTAGAATTTAGAATGTTAGGTTATTAGAGATTTTAGTTAGATATCTAATTTATTTTTTGTATTACTGATTTACTAAATAAAAAACTAGAATATTACTAAGACTAGTATTGTAATAAATTAATACTAAGACTACATTGATCCTTCTGATAGCGACTGTAAGTGGTGGAATGAATGTTTTCATTATTAATGACTTATGTAAAAAATAAAATAAAAAGTCTTATGTAAAGAAAAAAAAAAGGTTGCGGAATGGTATAAACGGTAAACTATTGAATGATAGTTTAAGTCACTTTTCTTGAGATTGACTTATTTGTTAGATTTAGTGATAATGATTTATTGAAACGCTTTCAAAGTATGAAAACTCGAAAAATGCTTTTGTAGTATTTTTTTTTAATTGCATTCTCTCTCCTCCTATCTCAAGCTCAAAAAGTCGCTGCTTTTTTTTGTTCATTCTCCATTGCACTGAAACTGGTTGATGATTTGCTTCTGAGAAAGAGGGTACACGAACAGAGGATATATGGTTTCTGGGTTTTTGGATGTATTTTTTAGTACTATTATTTGGTTGGTAAAACATTTTTTTTACATATTTGGTTATCGATTGTGACTCACCAGTCGGAAATTCCTGGGTCCGCCACTGGATGAGGTAGTAAATATGAATTTACATAGGTCAACGAGATCTTGTCCACAAGACCACAAGTATGCTAGGGTCTTCGATTTTTTATTTTTATTTATTTATTTTTTTAACAGGAGCTTAAATAAACAAACTGAACCATATTTAAGGAGGAAAAAAAAAAACTTATCATAACATTTATAAGCCATGTCGCGAGTATATGTGCCTTGTCTACTCGTTCCTTCTAAACCTTGTGAATGCTACACGCTACACCAAGCAATAAGGCCTTACTGATGTGGTAAATATAAAACCATCAAAATATGGGTGTTTTCGAGGGTGGGGGGAAGCATGGGTGGTTTGAGGGAGGGGGGTTTTTCGACGGTTTGGGGTTGGGGAGGGGGTTAGGTGGTGAGGGTGGTAGCCACCAGTGTAGGTGGATGGCTGGTGTTTTTTTTTTAAGTTTAATTTTAATTTTAATTCACTATTTTTTTTGGCTAATCACGTGTTGTCGTGTTGACACCTGCAAGAAAGTATATTTTTTTTAAAAAAAAATTACACATGGTACCCAGTACCCATCAGGGTAGATGGCTGGGCGGTGGTTTTCCGTTTTCGGGCTAAAAGGAGAAAATGCACCTTAAAATTAGGATTATTGCAGAATAATCAAAAGTTGAAATTATTTAAAACAAATTAGACAAAGTTAGAATCGATTATTAAAAGGCAAAATTGGTACAAACCACCTTTTTTGTCCAACTTTTTTGAAAAAACCACCTTTTATGTTTTTTTTTATTTACTAAACCACCTTTTAAGTATCTAAATTCTTTATTGCACCACCCATATTTCAAATTTTGACGAAAAATTTAACTGAGATGTTAAAGGGGCCCACAACTTGTGCCTTTCGCTCCTAAATCGTGTATTTTTTCACCCCCAAAAACATTTGACCCTTCCCTCTATATAAATGCATGACTAAATTGAGTAAAGCTCTAAAAAAACCAAACCTAATTTTGCTACAAAAATTAAATTGTAGTATTTGTTTATTCTCAAACCCTAAATTGAGGTAATAGAATTGATGGTTGAGATGGAAGGGAAGGTTTTGCTATGGTTAATGATTTGGAAATGGATGGTTGAGATGCAATCTGTTGAAATAGGGGTGGTGCAATAAAAAAATTTAGATACTTAAAAGGTGGTTTAGTAAATAAAAAAAGAATATTTTGTGAAAAACTACCTTTTAAAGTTTGAATTTTGCGAAAAACTACCCTAAAAACATAATGTTGTAATTAACTGTCTTATAAAGTATAAATGTTGTAATTAACTACCTTATAAAGTATAAAATGTTGTAATTGACTGCATACCTCCCACCGGAATAACACATTTGATTTTTATTTTCCGGTGTTGACCATGTCATGTGAGGGTCACATGCCCTTTAATGACTTAATTCCCCCCTTTCTCCCAAATTTTCCCGCTTTATACCAACTCTTTTCCTTAACAATACGATTATTCTTTTTTTTTTTTGACGGGGTTATTCATATTTTATATTGTTTATTTGCAACCCCTTTGATAATTATATGGGCTGAATTGGTGTAAAGCGGGAAAATTTGGGGAAAAGAGCGAGGAGAATTAAGTCATTAAAGGGCATGTGACATGGTCAACGTCGAGAAATAAAAGTTAAATGTGTCATTCCGATAGAAGGTAGTCAATTACAATGTTTTATATTTTATAGGAAAAATACACTTTAATAATCCCAACTATTGGCGATTTACCTAGAATAATCCCAACTAAGGATTATTTTCTAACAGTACCAACTTTGCCTCTAATTTTCTTCCAACTGTCCCAATGACCGGTAACCTATTGAAAGGTAAATTTTTTTTATAAATGCCACGTGTCAACACGTGATCAGTTTAGAATTAGAAAAATTAGAATCAAAATATTCTAAAAAAATCAGAAAATTAAAAAAAATCAGAAAATTAAAAAAAAAATTAATAAAAAATCAAATATTAAAAATAAATCAAAAAATGGAAAAAAATAGAAAATTAGGGAATTAAAAAATCAGAAAATTAAAAAAATCAGAAAAAGATAATAAAAAAATAGAAAGTTAAAAAATCAGAAAATTAGAAAAAAAAAAAAACAAAAATCCCAAAACCCTCCCAGCCACCCTCCCACCACCTCGTAACCCTAGCCAGCCACCCTCCCTCCCCTTTCCCCGCCGGCGGCCAACCCCCAAAACATTCCAAAATGGTCGGTCGACGCCCACCCATCTCGGAAAACACTCGGCCGGCCCAAAAGCACCTTCCGAAACTACCCCTCGCTATTCCCCGACCTCCAAAACCACCCCCTCCCACTTCCCCGACCATCAAAACAGCCCCTCCTCATTTAATTTCCCCTACCGCCGAAATGGCTGATTTTGACGGTGGGGGAAAGGAGGTGGGGTTGTTTTGAGAGTCGGGGAAGAGGAGATGGTGGTTATGGGGGTCGGGGAATAGTGAGGGGGTTGGTTTCGGGGGTGATTTTGGGCGGCCAGATAGTTTCCGAGCTAGGTGGGTGTCGGCCGACCATTTTGGGATGTTTAGGGGGTTGGCCGCCGGCGGGGAAAGGGGAGGGAGGGTGACTAGCTAGGGTTACGGGGTGATGGGAGGGTGGTTGGTGGGGTTTTTTTTTGTTTGTTTCTTTAAATTTTTTGATATTTTTAATTAATTTTTTGATTTTTTATTAATTTTTTGAAATTTTTCTAAGTGTCTGTTTTTTTTTAATTTAAAATTTTTAATTTCTGTTTTTTTTTAAATTATTTTATGTTTTTTTAATGTTCTAATTTTTTTTGTTTTTTTTTTATTTTGGACCAATCATGTGTTGACACGTGGCATATGACTTGTTACAATAGGTTACTGACTCGTAGTTGACCGGTTGGGTCTACTAGAAGAAAATAAGAGGCAAAGATGGTACTGTTAGAAAATAGTCCTTAGTGGGATTATTCTAAGTAAATGGCCAATAGTTGAGATTATTAAAATATATTTTTCCTATTTTATAAGGTAGTTAATTACAAAATTTTGTTTTTAGGGTAGTTTTTTGCAAAATCTGGAATTTAAAAGATAGTTTTTCACAAAAAATCCATAAAAAATCATAAAAGGTGATTTTTTTTCAAAAAAGTTGGACAAAAAAGGTGGTTTATACCAATTTTGCCTTATTAAAATGAATTTTTCCAATATTGAAAAACGAAGTGAGTAGCAGCTAACTTGTTGCTGAGGTGTGCTACGAGCCTACGAGTAACTAACTTTCGTATTTGAACTTAACGAAGAGAGGAAGTATATTTCAAGGGTTGTGAGACAAAATAAAATGTCTCACAACATAAAATAATATAGCGAATGTACTAGCAAGAGGGAGAAAGGAAGAGAGAGATAGAGAGAGTGAAAAAAAAGGTGAGGTAGAACCCACTTTTGGAGTCAAAAATGGTTTCGCGTGCAAAACGACAAAAAATATTGGGACCACAACTACTGAGAGTATATTTTAGACCTGAGGATTTTTATAAGTACCATTAAAACCACATTGAGTACCAATGGGAGTGTATTTTGTACCACTGAGATGTAATGGTATTATTTGACAACCTAATTAGGCATTTGAACTTTTTTTAAATACCACTAAAATTATATTTTGTATCACTGAGAGTGTATTTTATACCACTAAATCTAAAATGATAAAATTTAAATCCCGCATAAAATGACCAACCTACCCCTGCGAGACACTTCTAAATCTCTCTCTCTTAACCCTCTGTTTATATAACCTCTAAAGAAGATGGTTTATAAGCTTTGTCCTTGTGTTGTTGACACCTGGGAGAGCTGGGACTATGCCTATTACAACCAAAAAAAAAAAGGGCAATATATATATATATACCAACAAAACAGAGAAATTTCGGGGAAAAAGCTTATTTATCGTTGAGTACCAGTATATATCAATGTACATAACAGTTCTTAATACTCGACCAACATTAATTACATCATCCAATTTCAATCTTTTGTTGTTGTTGTTGTTTTGGTTCCTAGAAACGACCGAGTAAATTCCTCATTTACTGTTATTCTTACTCTCGTATTCGACTACGTAAGACAACGAAGAGAAAAACATGGACTCCTCATCACGTACACAAGATGCAGTGTGGGCAGGTTTGGAGAATGGAGGATCCAAGGGGACTACGGCGACTAAGGAAGTCGTCCGCCCAGGGCGAACGGCACATACCATGTCCTCGTCCTCTCTCAGGAGAAAATCTGAACTTCAACTCATTAATAAGGTTCAATGTGGGTTGCTGAAAAATATACTAACTAATTTACAGGAAGTGTTTTTGGGTACTAAGCTTGCTGTTCTTTTTCCTGCTATTCCCTTGGCTATTGCTGCTCATCAATATAACTTTGGAAGGGTAAGAACCAATCAACAACATGTTTTCCATTTTCTTTTTACAATTTATTTTCATACTCCCTCCATTTCATAATGTTAGTCCTATATACTATTTTGGGTGTTTCAAAAAGATCTACCCATATTGAATATATTTCATTTATAACTTTATTTTTGTATAAATTGATTGGTTGTGGATTGATGACATAACTCTAGGTAAGGAAATCTTTACCTTAAATTATGCAATTATAACTTGTGCTTTCCTAATAAAAAATCAAAAAAGTTAAATAAGGTAAACTAATCATGAATTATGTTGTACTTTAATGTTAGATTCCAAATATATTTATTTTCTTATTTTATGTGATTGATTCCATATGAGACTAACATTATGAAACGGAGGGAATAAAATATAAAGGGAAAAAAATGCATGTTAATTGCTATTTCTCAATAAGCATGCACATTTAATTCAAGGGTTGGGAGTGTTGAATTTATTATACTAATTGTTTGCCCTATAGGCTATAGCCTATTTTACTTTATTATGTTTTGATTCGTTGACTTGAATTGATAAGAGAAAATAAAAATGGGACTAAATATATTTTCACAAGTATTGATGAACTTCGTTTCACTGTGAGTCAATCCACCAACCTATAATGCATAAAATTTCAAAACAAACTATGATAAAATGTCCAAAATTTATTTTTTAATTTAATTGTTAATATATTGTAAAATGTAAATGAAATATCTAAGAACTTATCTGTCTTACCATGATTCAGACTCATACAGTATTTTTACTGTTTCTATAGATAAAATGTACATGGACGAAATCACAAGCCGAAACTAAGGAGTATAAGAAAACGAAAGGAAAAAAAAATGATACTTTGTATATACCTTCTCAACAATATCAAATATACAATAACAATTGTTGAAAGAGTATCATATCAATGCAAATAATACAACTACACTAGAAGTTTTATGGGGGAGATTATATTGTGGTTGATTTTACTTTGTTTTATGCAATAGCCCATCACGAGATAATGTAAGTCAGAGGATTTTAGTTGTAACGGACCACTTCCTTATTCAATTACATTATCTGAGAAGCAATGGCCAAGTGTAACAATAATAACCTACTAAGGTGCATATAAAGATAGTGACCAAGAAGTGGTGTCACCAATAATATATGCTAATTAGGAAATAAACCTAACTATGATGTATAACTAGTTCATTCGATAAAATATTATTTCATGAATATCTGTCTATAAAAAAATATTTGAAATTTGGCTAAAAAGCTTTTACGATAGTTTTATGATATTAAATTGCTAACAGTTACATTAATTACTCATAATATGCACAATATTATACACGATTATATAATTGATTGTTTAAAAAATCATTTGAATTTAAACCTGCCTAGTTTCATACTTTCATATGGATTAATTTGTCTTACTTGTAACATTTGTGGGCAGGAATGGGTGTTTGCTTTGAGTTTACTTGCACTTACACCACTTGCGGAGCGTGTGAGCTTTATAACTGAGTAAGCTCTTCTTATTCTTCTTCTTATTATGTGCAATTTTGGAATATTTTATATCTCAAAAATAATACTCCAATAACATTTAACAGACGTAGTATTAAAAGGTTTTTCTAACTTTGTGTATGTGTCATGTATATCCTTTATCACACAACTACTACGCCACATCATCATTCAATAATCAAAATTAAATATTCATACAAAGAGATTTGAATCCAAAACTTCATTGAATAAAAACAACTAACATCAAGACTTTTAAAGCTTCTAATATAAAATTGAAATCATTCAAAATATCACCCGGAGCGAAGCTCACATCACACACTAGTTTATTGATAAAAAAAAAAAAAAAAAAAAGTTGCATTATTTTATTGATCAATTTACTTATTTATACATCGCATTTAAAATTAGTTAATTATATCCTAGTCTACAAAGAAAGACATTTTTATATATTGATTGAGCTTAAACATATTTCTAGCCTTTATAATTTCATATTTTATTAATTACTTTTTGTTGTCAAAAATAGTTAATTATCTTCTTTTAATTAATGATTCAATAATTTGTTTAACATAACATTGATTCCTTATTCTTACTATATGTCTATTTGGCTATAAATTTGCAGACAAATTGCTTGTTACACTGGTCCAACAGGTATTACAATTATATTTTACTCATCACATTATTATAATAAATTCAATTCTTTTAAAATTTAATAGTTAGCATACATTACACATTAGATTTTTTTTTTTTTTTTTTAATTACAAAGAATCACAAAAAAATGTATTTGAATTTTGCAGTTGGAGGGCTTTTGAATGCAACATGTGGAAATGCTACAGAGTTAATAATAGCAATTCTTGCCCTAAGTCAGAATAAAGTAGCCTTGGTGAAGTACTCACTTCTTGGTTCCATTCTTTCCAACCTTCTCTTGGTTCTTGGTACTTCCCTCTTTTGTGGTGGCCTTGCCAATCTCAACAAGGAGCAAAAGTATGATAGGGTAAATATTAATTAACCCGTTTGTATATATGATGTCTTATTGTGTCTCTTCTGAGAAATCTGATAAAATTGAAATGATACAGTGTTATATGACTATTAAAGATAACATTATATTATTGTTGATATGAGTCAAGTAAAAACTAATTCTGTCAATGTTATTTTGATTTGGTGTGCAAAGGAGTCCTATTGATGAAAGTACTTAAACCAAGTAAATAAATTTATACTATACGAAAAGTCGTGAACAATATATATATATATATATATATATATATATATATATATATATATATATATATTAAGCTAGAAGGATTGAAGGAAAATCGATTATTGATAGATGAAGTACTAATTAAAAAACCACACCTTAGGTTTTTAAACATTTTTTTGTATATAAATTTGTTTAACAACCAACAAGAGTTGACTCAAATTGTAAGCAGTTTGACCTTCCTTAAGGGAGGTCTCGAGTTTGAGCCTCGCAGAAAACTCTTAACTCAAAAAAAAAAAATTTGTTTTAACATATTTTGTTTTAATCATTCAACAGAAACAAGCAGATGTAAACTGCTTCCTCTTATTGCTGGGATTATTATGCCACATTTTGCCATTGCTCTTCAATTATAGTGCTAAATCTGTTCAAGATGTATCCAACTCAACACTAATCCTATCAAGAGTAAGCAGTATAGTAATGCTGGTGGCCTACTTTGCTTACCTTGTCTTCCAATTATGGACTCACAGACAATTCTTTGAGGCTCAAGAGGTGAATACTCAATCATTATTCGTGCTCGAATCGCCAATATTTAATTTGATTATTTTAGTTAAGGACTTAATTGGTATGATTCTGATTACTAACTAATTGAGCATATTTTGAAACTATTATTAGGATTCTGATGATGATGCAGAAACTTCTGAAGAAGTTCCTGTAATTGGATTTTGGAGTGGATTTGCTTGGTTGGTTGGAATGACTGCTGTTATTGCATTGCTGTCTGAGTACGTTGTTGCCACTATTGAGGTAATTCATCAATGTATTACATATTTTAGTATAATACTCCCTCTGTTCTTAAATAATGGTTGTTTTTTTTGGGAGTGGGTTTGGTTGCGATGGTCGGTGGACCCAGGGTTTACGATTTATTGCCATCGACATTCCTAAGATAGGATCCTAGCCAGAGGTCCATCAGTCACCGTGTACCTTCCAACAACATTATTATAACTTACTTCGTATAATTTAGTATTGGTCATAACAAAATCATTTTTCATTGTTTAATTCAAAATTACAAACATATCGTATATATATTCTTAATAGTAGTCATATTTTAAAAAAAAAATGATAAAAATTACGTGTTAACGAGTGTAAATAGTATAAGTAGTACTTTGAATTATACACAGTTTATTGTGATGAAATGGAAGTAGTATATCCATTTCTATTTTAATTCATTCCAAATTAATTAATTAAATAAATCCATTAAGATAAAATTTGAAAATAATAGCAGGACAAATTTTAAATGTTGTAATGTTATGGTATGTATGTGACATTTTGGATGCATGCTGGCAGACTGCTTCAGTGTCATGGGGCGTATCAGTGAGCTTCATCAGCATAATTTTGCTACCAATTGTAGGCAATGCAGCTGAACATGCTGGAGCTGTCATTTTTGCTTTTAAGAACAAGTTGGTATGTTTAATTTTTCTATTATTATATATATGATTACATATTAATATAATCATCGTTTAATACATATTATATTTCCAACTTTTTTCTTGTATTTTCCCAGAAATACATGACAAAATCACGCTTGCTTGATGTATAATTTTAAATCCACTAAATGTATTGTTTATTCAAATTGAACAGGATATTTCCTTGGGTGTTGCTCTAGGATCAGCTACTCAAATTTCCATGTTTTTGGTAAGTACATACACTTCTTAAATAATGTACCATTAATTTTGATGTATAGAGCTATAAAATTTTACAACCGTGTTATTACCCTGCTAATTCCTCCGTCCCTAAATAATGTATTGTACACTTTAGGTTATACCATATAACTATGAATTGTCGTATTACCCCTAATGAACATCAATTATTATGTTTTCGCAGGTTCCATTGTGTGTTGTAGTTGCTTGGATAATGGGTATCGAGATGGATCTTAATTTCAACACAATCGAAACGGGTTGTCTAGCTCTTTCCATAATTGTCACTGCCTTCACTTTACAGGTAAAATAATTCATTCCACTGAATTAAATTAGCATGAATCAAGTTCCAATTAGCTAAGTAATTTAACAATAACAATTTATAATGTGCAAATTCTATGATTTGCGTAGGATGGAACTTCTCACTACATGAAAGGATTAGTTCTGCTGCTTTGCTACGTTGTTATGGGGGCTTGTTTTATTGTTCTTCGAACTCCTTCAAGTAAGAGCCTATACCTTTATCGATAACCATATTAAACTCGTAATTTGAATACTGCCTCCATTTCATATTATTACTTTCTCTGATCTTTTTTCTAAATTGGACTTTAAATACACCATTCAAGTAAATAATTGTTTAGTGTGTAATGTGTAAACATTTTTGGTTACAGGCTAACCAAATATCATGAACGTGGCAAATGCATCTACCAACAACCAAATTTTCTAGAGGTAAAACTAGTTACGTATTATTTCTCTTTGGAAAAATGTGTTATGTTATTGAGGAATATATTGTATATTTTTGTATAATTTATCCACACACCCATAAAAGCAACAATTGATATAGAAATTCATCATATTTGACATAAGATACACAAATTTTTTTTTTTTTAAACAAAGATACACATTATTATAACACTATGTATGTCATTTTTTATTTTATTTTTACATAAGCTTATATCACATACCAATTACATCCATTGCATATAAATGAAAAGTTGACGTAAAATTTTAACAATTTAATATTAATACGATTAAAGGTTAAGAGTTCAAACATTGGCCTCGATTTAAGAAAATATTATCTATATATTTATCACTGTAGATTTGTAGAGAGATTGATGAGATTACGTTATACAGGGGTTTTTTTTTTCCAAGCGGGCACCATGGAAAAAAGGTATCAATGTTGATGAACCAAGCTAAGGATCGGAAAAGGAATTTGTTGATTGTTTCATCTAAACGTACGGATCGATTATGGAGTTCATCAAAATTCACCTACATTATTTTGTGCCAAATAAAAAGGATGAGAATTTTTTTTAAAAAAAAAAAAAGCAAAAAAAAAAAAAAAAAAAAAAAAAAAATGTACTCTCTGATCAGCAAACATAAAAAATTATTGGAAAGTTGCTACAGATGCAGCCAAAGGAAGGCTGATGGAGATACGCATATAATCGTATATATATGCATTTCAAGAATTTATTTTATAGTCTCCATATTACACAAAAAATTCCATTTTTTTGGGTAAGGAGAGTTTTTTTAATGGAAGAAAGCTTGTAATTTTTTTTTTCTAGAGTTTGGTTTTATTGGAAAGTAATAAACGACACTGTAATTCAATTCAATTTAATTTGATTCTACTTTTTGTGCCCTTTTTTTTTGGTTGTAATAATGGAAAAATTAATAGCCACTTGCTAGCTTGCTACTACTTACCAAGTTACCAGTATATACTATATACTCAATTACTCATATAGATCTGATAAACGGGTCGTTCGGGTCGTGTCAATTAATATTCAAGTCAATTCGTGTTTCGGGTTAATGCTAATTCCGGTCAAGTCGGATATCGGGTCAACACTTTGGGTCGGCTTAGTCTTCGGGTTCAATTGTCGGGTCAAGTTCGGGTCGGGTCAATCTTCATCTATATCGATGTAGAAATTTGACCAATAATATATTATAATTACCAATAAATATAAAATATAACAGTTGAATATTAATAATATATTCATTAGACAATTCCAACAGTATTTCATACACATGCAAGACTGTATTGTTTCATATGTACGATCATTATAACAAATGTTCCTTATCAAGTGGAACTCTTTATGAATTACTAGTGCTAAATTAAACGCACATTCGTTCCAACAATACTATACACACAAGACTATAATGTTTATGTTATTTTCGATAAGTATTTATTCGGGTAAAGTAATTACCCTAAATCTGTGAGGTCATTTTCAGTATTTGTTAATTTTGGGTCAAGTCATTCGGGTAGAGTTCGGGTCGTTTCGGGTTTTGGGTCACTTCAGGTCAATCAATTCGGATCAAGATCGATCGGGTCGGATCACTTCGGGTTTCAGGGTCACTTCGAGCATCAGGTCAATTTTGGGTCGGGTCGATTCGGGTATCGGGTCGGGTCAATTCGGATATCCGGTCAATTCGGGTATTGGGTCAACTCCACTTCGGATCGGGTCAGGTCAGTGTCATGTTCTTCGGGTCAATTTCGGGTTTACATTTTTGGGTCACGGGTCGGATTAGGATTGTCAAGTCTATACTCATACAATCAATTACATACTACTAAAAGCGAATCTTAAGACACACTTGTCAACGTATTATCAAAAAATTTCCCGCCAAAAGTACCTTCTAAATAAATTGTTGTTACTTAAGGAAAAAATAAATCAATCATTACATACTACTAAAAGCGAATCTTAAGACACACTTGTCAACGTATTATCAAAAAATTATGCTTTTATTTGTAATATACTCTATATTTTTTAATACTCAAGTCATTATATTAAAAAATTTATAATAAAATAGTCAAAGATATTTAACAACCGTGCATTACACGGGATTTAACCTAGTTAAAGATATTCATGAAAAAACTTATTAAAAGTGTAAATATTGTGGGTATGATGGTGAAAGGGAGTAATGGTAAGTGAAAATGGTACTCTGTGTAACGTAAAGTGAGCAAAAGAATAAAAATATATATATATACTTCTTCCGTTTTAAAATATTTGCAACTGATTGCAACACACCTTGCACTTCTAGAAAGAGATTAGACAATATTAAAGAATAAATTCAATCATCAAAATATTTATAGTTTTATACACATTGTACCTAACTCTTCTTTTTTCGGTATTTAAATTATTTTGATAAAGTCATTTGTTTACCGATTTTAATCTTTCTTAATGGCAATAATTTTACTAATTAGTTAGAGTCACAATGTTCATGCTTTTTTTTTTCTTTTTTTAACAATGTTCATGCTAGCTTGCACTATTTCTTACAAAAAAAATGTTAGCTTGCACTATGAACAAAAAAATGTTGGTATCATTAATTAAACAAAAACATTTGCATGCCGCCGATTTACAATAATTTTATTGTACATCGAACATTTTACAAAAAGTGACCCTTTTTTTTTACAAAAGTGAACCCTTTTTTTTTTTTTTTTTACAAAAGTGACCCTTTTTTCACATCCCCTTATTCACAAAAAATAACTTTTTTTTTCACAAAAATGACCTTTTTTCACAAAACAAAGTATCAAAATCTCACTAGTTTTTTTTGTTTTTTTTTTCAAAAGTACCCCATATTTACTTTGATTCGAAATTTTCTGCTACTACTTTGATATGTTACTATTGCTACTATTGTTACTTGATCTGTTATGAAAGATGAACGATCTATTTCTATTCAATTTTTCTGTAAATTTAATTAAATCTCTCATATTTGGATCTAATTTTGAAATTTTCAATCGATTTTCAGGACAGAGAAACCGACAGATAGATCTAGAGGATTTGGCTTGGTTACATTTGGAAGCAAAGAAGAGCTTGATACAGCGATCGAAGGAATGAACGGCCGAACACTCAACGACCGTCAGATCACTGTTAACGAGGCTCACGTTTCTCATTTTCGTACAAAAGCATTGTTCGAGTTTAAAAAAAAAAAGGGGTTAAGAGGGTTTGAACCCCAAACTTCCTTGTAAGGGAATATAAAGACATCACCAAAAACAACCATTGGGCTGCACACTAACATGGCATGATATTTTGCATAAATATTTTATTTAACGCTTTTTAAATTCTTTTATCTTATTCCCCTATTCAAAACGAAAAGGGGTTGGAGAGGGTTCGAACCCCAGACTTCCTTGTAAGGGAGTATAAGGACGCGGACCAAAAAATATCACCGGGCTGCACGCTTACACAATGCTCTATGATGCGAAATTATTATATTTAACCCATTTTTATTTTTATTTTTTTTTAAAAAAAAAAACTTCTAATTTTTTTAAAAAAATTCAATGGATTCAATGAACCCACTTGAACCCAACCTGTATCCGCCACTGGGGACCGCTAATAGAAAAAAAATCTATACTCTTTGGACCACAAACCTCAAAACCTAATTAAATCCTATCGCTTACATTATTTCTCCCCTCAATACCCCACTTCCTCCACTTTTTTATTTTTTACAATTTTAAAATGAAAACAATCCTTTATATAATAAACAAATATTTTAAATGGGTCCACTAGTGATTTTTTTAAACTTCGTGTCCACCCCAACGTCTCGGATATTATGAGACGGAGGAAATATCAAACAATGATATAATGTAGGGGCCCTCCACTGGTGTTCTTGTCGGTGTGGTAAGCCCCAAAAACTTTTAAATTGCTTTCAATAAACAGATCTCATCCTTAAGATCATATTTTTCTCTTAGGTTTATTTTCTTTTTATGTTTCTATGGTAAGAGTTGAAGATCTAGGGTTTCATATTCTCTACAAGAATCCGGAGGACCTCATGAATATTCTCACTCAAACAACTACGCATCCGTGGATTTCAAGCCGAATCAGTGCGAACTCACAGATTGTATTGCTTCAGATGAAGTTTTTTATAAAGGCGATTGTTAATTCTAAGATATATTTAGTTTTAAGGCGTGTACTTGTGTTGGAATTCTTGATTTCTTAAGAATTATATGTAAGTATCGTTTGGTTTTATGTTATTAATGAAATCCCTTTTTCTTCTTGTCAAAAAAAAAAAAAAAACACACACACACACAATGATATAATACTCCATTTCTTTACAATTAATGAAAGATATATAAGAATATCAAAAGAGATTTTAATATAAATTGTGATCATTGTAAAATAAAAAACAATTTTAAGGATCAAAAATTTCTTTTTAGCAACAAAATTGTCAGGCAAATGAAATATTTGAAGTGGCATTATTATTATTATTTTTACAAGAAGAAAAGGGATTTCATTAATAAAATATAGCCAAACAACACTTACATATTATTCCTAAAAAATCAAGAATTCCAATATAAGTACACACCTTAAAACTAAATAAATCGTAGATTTGATTAATAATCGTCTTAATATATAAAAAACTTCATCTGAAGCAATATAGTCTGTGAGTTCGCACTGATTCGGCTGAAAATCCACTGATGCGTAGTCATTTGAGTTAAAATACTCATGTGGTCCTCCGGATTCTTATAGAGATTATGAAACCGAGATCTTCAATTTTCACCAAAAAAACACAAAAAGAAAATAACCCCAAGAGAAAAACAATCATCACAAGGATGATCTGAGATCTATTTATTGAAAGTAATTAAAAGGTTTTTAGGGCATACCACCGATAAAAATACCAACGGAAGCCCCTACAAAGATTCACAACTAAGACCAAGCGGAAAAGAGATGGAGAGAAAAGGGAGAAGAGAGAAGGAAACCAATCAAAGAAATTGGAAAAACCTAGCAATGGAGGCTGGGAAAACCCTCCCAATTAGAAAACCTAGAGGGAACGAAAATTACTCCCTCTGAAGTGGGGCATTAATATCTCAAGGGAAGACCCTAAAAAAAAACTCCTCTATTAATTTGGAAGGTGTGAAAGGTGTCACATTCGAAGATGGTGAAACATTTGATGACTTTATTAGTGAGTAACCCTAGCATTGTCCAGGTTGCTACTTTTGTATTTGTGCAGTTGCTAATATTTAATAACAATATAAGACATTTAATTCAATAGATTGTAATTCATATGTGTTTTCAAAACTTTTGTAGTATAGTATTAATTTGTGTGGAAAATTAGAGCATAAGTGATAATTAGCATATAGATGGTTTAACAAATGTTTTTTTTTTCTTAAGAGGTTGAATGTTTATTGAATAATAATTAGTCTAGATGCATGGTTAAATAATGATTTTTCATCTAAGAGACTGAGTGTTCAATCATTCTTATCCATGGAATAATATTGTTGAAACAATATGAAGTATTGTTGCTTGCGTGGATGATGTGACATATTGAATATTTACTTTTTAATAGAAACTTAACTTGAAACCTCAAAGTGGTTTGGACCTTTTTTATCGCCAGTTTTTAAAATAATGATAATTCAAATAAATTTTTTCCTCTCCAAGGTTCTTCTAAATAAACATTTCATAGGTGGAAATTTGGCTATTTCTGACACTTACTTTTAGTTTCTTTATGTTTATGTTACTTAATTCAATAAAACTACACTATTAAATGTTTAAAACTATACTATTTGAACTTTTGAAGGTAGTAAGTACCCCTATAGAGGGTTTGAGCTTAGTAAGTGTCCCTGTGGTGGGCTCTGTTTCTGTTTTTTTTTTTTTTGTTTTTTTTTTTGAGTTTAGTGTGGTACAAGTTGTTTCATGGGTAAAGATTTGT